TGATTTTGATGAGAACGGCTTTGAACTTAAGCATGCTATTATTTTATTTTCAAATTGTTCTTTTTCAATATTTTGCAATTCATTAAACTAAACACAGATTTTGATAATTTCACTTAATTTGAGTTAGTTTTAGTTAACAAAAAATAAATCATATGAACTTTAATTATAAAATACTGAATTTTATATAATGCAGCAAAAGTACGACGACATATTCTTATTTTAATTCTTTATTTTCTTTCTTTTTATTTAAATGAATATAATAAAATATATCTTTATTTAAGATTTTGATTATTTCGATCATCATCATCATCCGAGCAGTGTCTTAATCCACGAATAATAATACTGTATTAATTAGATTCATAGTGATTACCATAATCTAATGTTGACTGATTAGTAGATCATAACCATGACTTATTGACCAAATAATATAATTCTATAGAAGTCCATATGATTTATTAATTTATCTATGTCTTAGCAGCTTAATTGAATATTGTATACAATTATATTATTTCTGTCAAATAGGTGATGGTTATATAGTTTAATAATCATACCAAGATTAGGTAGTGGTATTCACTATGGATCTAATTTGCATGGTCCAACTTTCATAGATCCGGCTCGGCCCATTCGGAGCTGTTTCATTTCGATACAATCTTGTTTCTAATATGTATACTACAAGAAGAATTCGAGTAGACTGATCCTAATATTGCAAATAAGCTGATACATCTGCAAAATGCTTACAAAATTGTGATAGTTATTTGCATTATGCTAATCCTAACTTATACTAATGTCAAAGCATAAAGTAAAAGCATTAGATTACTTTTTTAATCCTAATACAAGAATATAACAATTAGTATTATTTAATGCAATGCTAATGCTAAGCAGACGCCTTTAATTTATAGTTCAATAAAACAAAGTAAGGTGTCAAAACGTAACAATTTTAAGGTCTTCTTAATCTTACTTAAGTGACATTCTTAAATGTAAAAGATCTGATGTCTACATATCAATGCGAGAAAAAAATTTCGAACTTTTCCAATCAAAAGACCAAGTGACCAACGATTGAATTAACTAATTTTATCGTCATTATTTAATACCAAAGGATACTTCAAACACATCAATATGAAGAATAAAAGTTTCGAATCAATACTTTTTTTTAAAGATAATTATCTATGCACATCACATGTACATCGTTGTCGGATAATGATAAAATGAGTAACCGCTCTTCGGAGAAGAAAACGAGAGAATAGACAAATTGTCTATCAAACAAAAGAAAGATATTGATTGGCTATGTGATGAATTATGATGGTAGCTGCCTTTGGCTTTCGACACGATGGTGTTTTGTGTCATCTGCACACTCACAACTGTGTATTTTCTTTATTAAATGCAATTTATATGGATGTAATCACACAGGAGAGAGCAAAGACAGAAGGTCAATCCTCGGTGAACAGGTCACACAAGTGAAGCATAAAGGTCAATAACTGCTACAAATTGGACAGAGACTTTTCTTTTCTCGAATAGCGAATGCCTGGAAAATATTCGCGATAATACGACTAAAGCAAAACTATCAAGAGATATTATTGTGACCGATGTTGTGCCTCATCACTCGCCATATCCGTATTTAAGGACGTCTGTCGAGCACATGCATTCATGTGTATACACATCACTTATTGTTTTTCTCTTCATATTGCATGTATGAGATCATTCTTTGAATTAAATATGAGCTAGTAGGCTGCTCCATTACAGTTATTCTCTTCTCAACATACCAACAATAATTTCAATTGTCATTTAAATACGTTCATCTTCTTTATTAATATATCTATTTAACGTGTTTTTTTAATTGATCCAAACGTGTGTGAATTTTTTTATAGACAATATTATTATTTAATTATCTTTCTATTACAACGATAATGAATATTGATTCCAACTTATCACTAACACATAAAGATTCAACACATATGAATACATCTTCAAATTTGAATATGATGCAAACAGTTATATCTCATCATGAACAATATCAATCAACTAATGATGATCCTTTTTCAACATCAAATGATGCTTCATCATCAGTTAATAATATGATATTATCATTAACATTTTCTAAGTCAGTTACAAATTCAATGCTTGATTATAAATATCTGTGGATGAGACCAGGTATTGATAAGTTTATTGAGAAAAATGATGTATTAAAAATAAATAAATGTAACATATAGAAATGATTAACATTTGTACCATTATTTCGTTTATTTATGATTACTATGAAGTCGTTCTTTCTTTTTCTTTATAGAATTTAATTTTGAACATAAACGTCGTCGAACAACTTATACATGTCATCAACTACTTGAATTAGAAAAAGAATTTCAATGTAACAAGTAAGAAAAGAATATTTTTATATTTATTTATAAATATGAATAGATATTTAACATGTTTACGACGAAGTGAAATGGCTCGTAGTCTTCTATTAACTGAACGACAAATTAAAGTAATAAAATCTTGTTTTTTATGTTAATCTACTCGTTTTCTTTGTTTAGATTTGGTTTCAATCTGGGTAAGAATAAATCGCGAGTTTTCTTTTATTTATTTATGATTTTTTTCTTTTACATTAGTCGATTTAAATGGAAACATGATATGTTTAAATCACGTAATCATCCACAACATGTTGAACTTCAAGCAAACGCAACAAATCATAGTCGAAATCATCATTCATATGCTGCATGAACTAATGATGCATCATGATCATCGATATCAAATATTAGAAAAGAAAATAATCATCTATATAACACCAATGAAAATAATAAATAAATATTTAACTGTATATATAACGACCTTTGACTACTAGTCGATCGCAATAGAATGCATGCTCTTCGTTCCGTTCTCGAAAGATTAAAAAATGAAGTGACAAATATTGTTTTATTAAAGCCTTCATTACCTTAATTTCTGGATGCTTCGGTTAATCCTACACGACAGAAATATGATTTTAACAAAAAAGCGTTTTGATAAAATCTATTCATCGATATATTGAAAATAATGAAATGAGTTACTAGTTCTTACTCCAGTACAAAAATACGGCCCCTATTCCACTGTAAACGGCCATTTAAGATAAACTTACGACGAAAAATAAGGATAGCCGTAATTTCCATTCTGAGTACACAAGATTTTATTTTATAGGAATAATATCCTGTTAGTTTTTTTGAGCCGTTTCATATAGCAATCGAAAATATTGCAATACGTTTATGGAAGAGAAATCTTTAAGATAGTTTTACATATCGATGTTCATTGGCATCGCCAAATGTTTGCTTAATAATTTCAATGAATAAGAAGAACAAAAAATTTATTATTATTAACACCCAACCACAATTCTTTCGAATCTTTGAGCTGATTACTAAATCTTCGTGATTATCTTTTTAAGCAGCAGCCACATGAGTACTCTGTCAAATCGTTTTGAAAACCAATACTTACTAAAAAGAGTAAGATAGTATAGATTGACACTGCTACCATTTGTTTGAAAATTTCATCTCAGAAAATGATAACAAGCATTGATTTGTCTTTACACATATTTCTAACGCCTTACTTGATCCTGAGTATAATTTCATCGACGACTTACGCTCAGCAATCGTTTCAGACAACATTTAATATGATATCTCACACAGAATTTTAACCGGTAACAGTAAACAGTGGTCCAGTCCGATAGAGACCACTTTTTCTTTACCGACCGGTCTAGGTTTTTTTTTAAAAAGTTCTGCATGTTTTTTCTCACAAACTCTTTCGACATAAAATATTTTTTATTTAAATATCTTCGATAAAAAAATCAAACATAATATCTATAGGTCTATTCTAAGTCACTGTAACTCAGAGTTTAATTTAGATTTCAACAGACATCCAAGTTACGAACAGAATTATCACAGTGTGAACTTCTTCTGACAGGTGATTTCGATTGCCAATTTTTGACAAATAGAACAACCGAATTTTCATGAATGAAGATTACCGATTGTTTTAAGTTGCAGTCGAGCCCTCGATCCGTTTAAAATGGCACTTCAAAGATGAAATAAAACATTTCATATAGATACAAAATTTTTGAAATTGAAAGAAAACTAGGGTATGAGTGTGGAGTGTGAATCAACAGAAGTAAACATCCACACCCTAGCCTAAATTCTAAATTTTGATTTAATTTCAAATAAAAAGCAAACTATTCAAGGTAATTACTTATGATTTTAAAAAGTATTGTGTTTTGCGCTTTACTGGAAAAAACATGACACTTTGATGGTACATTGTATAGTAGAAAAATACTTTAGTTATTTGTTAGGCTATTATTTAAGAGTTGCTTGTATTCCTCTTGGTCACTTATTATAGTAATAGATGGAGCTCAAAAGAAATTTTCTTTCGGTCTTATTAAATTTACTCTTGAAATTTCTCTTTCTCTCTTTAGATTTTCAATTTTATTTTAGTCAACATAATTTCTTTATTTATTTTTTGTTTTATATATCGATCTCATTCCATTGATATTTATTAATTAACTTGATTAATTAATGTATTAAAATATTATGTCAATAGTATTAATTTCATTGAATCCCCCTCCATAACAAAAGACCCCAGATCTTCTATTATGATACGCATTTTTCAATGGACTCCAGTCAAAAAATTTTCCAGGATTTTCCTAGATGATCCAGGTTTTTTTTTATGATTATCACCAGTTTCACCAAGATAACCCAGGAAAAATGAGGAAGGTCTTCAATTACGTCCGACATATCATACACTGGGGAAAGGTCTTCTAATATAGGAGGATTTTTATTCTAAGATGAGAGAGTACTTTCTTCTCCTATTTTACTACTAGAATGACTTTATGATATAACAAACAAATTTTGATAAATCACCTGGATCATTAATAGTCGATGTCGAAAAAAGTGAACATAACAACAATTTAAAGGATCTGCAGTTCTATTAAGTTGATGATAAAGAAAATAAATGTTTGAATCGAATAAAAAATAAATGATTATTATTGATGATCTAGATGGAATGATATGCTATTCAATGTCACTATCAATGTGAATTTATTATTCGATTAATAATAATTGTTCTCCATGTTTATGTAATACTTTTCGTTATTAAATTAGACGCTTCGATCGAAACAACTTTATAGTTTAGTGATGTCTATATTGACATCTTCGAAGAAAAACAATAATAATAATTTTGATTTTATTTTGTTTTTGATTCATATTTATCTTCTAGGTATAATAATACAGATTAATTCAGAAAATTTATGTAACTTTGACAGATGAATGAACGCATATTTTTCGTGATAGAAATTTATATTTGTATATTTTGTATGAGAAGTTATTTTGATTAAAAAAATAACTTCCTCTTTGTTTTTATTAAGCAATTGTTGACTGTAGTGCTTTGAGGACTTTGTTTCAGATTTCTATTCGAAAGATTGGTCGCCTTAAATAAAATTTATTAACATTATTATCAAATAAAATGTCATGCCGTTTAGTAAATGGATTGATTTAAGTCCATCAAGTAAATTCATTGAATGTTGTTCAAAATGAACTTGAATATATATATATTCATCATTACAACAAGATTGGAGTAAAGAAATTCAAGATATTTTTGAAGAATTAAAAACTAATGAACAAGTAAAAAGAATAAAAATAACTATATAAGATGATATTATAAAATGAACTATTTTCTATGGTCAAATAGGAAATAGATCGCTTCAAAAAAGTCCTTAGTCTACTATTTTTGAAATCTAATTTTTAGCTTTTTTTGAGTGAATATTCAAAATCAGCATTAAAAAAAATGAGTTGGCTCATGTAATTTGTTTTTTCGATCTAATTCCTCTGATAGATCAGTCGAAAAATGAATAGAATCAAAGCACATATTTTATTGTTGAGTCACGTGACATGATTGTCTTATAATAAAATTTTTGAAAGCTTAGAATTTGCTTTTCACTATCCAGATAACTTTTTTGATTGATCTTTCTTCTTTTTTAATTTTGATTTTTTTCATTTTAAGGAAATTCATGATCGTGAACAAGCAATACTTCAATTAATCATACAGCATGATCATCAACATATGAGATTAGAACAATGGGAACATGAATTAAAATTATTAATCATGTCAACTAATAATCAAGAATGTCTTTATTAATAAACACCAAAAATACAAAAACGTTGTGAACATTTTAGACATTGACTTTTACATGTAGTACTTAATGGTACCATTACATTTTTATCAACTAAGTACTTCTTCAGATTTAATTAGTAGTTCAATAAGTTTGTTTTATTTTTATTTTAATTAAATATTTTTTAAATGATATTCTCTATAGATTTTCATCACTTAGTATCAATATGTCGTGAATATAATTTATATCATCGTTCAGCTATGGATTATGATCCATCATAAACTCTTTCTAATGTTTCAACATCATCTTTAACATAAATATCATGTTCAAAAAATAATACACTTTCATTAGATTCAACAACACCAATATATTCAGATGTATTGAATTCTCAA